CAGATGCTTGGTTCAACACACAGCACCAGTTCTGCTTACCAAAAGTAGCCCACTTGGCAGTCGCATTTGTTTCTTCATTTGCTAACAAGATGAGGAGGATAATTCCCTATTTAGAAAAGTTGAACTATTCCCCTGTTCCAAGTTCAAGAGTAGGCTGAGGCCATGAATGACCCTGGGATCCCCATCCATTTGCTTTACCAGTTGGCAGTTATTGCAAAGGAAACTTCAGAGGGAACTATCTATTCAATGGCCTCAGTGGCCTGATATGTACATAGACATTTTTCTCATATTCTCTCATACTCATTAACCTCTTGCATCTTCGTAACTTTATTGCTTTGCTTGGGGATGAAAGATGATGGCAAAGTCCATATATATATATATATATATATATATATATATATATATATATATGATATAGAACACATAGGAAACTTTTATTAATCTAACATGTTTCACATTTATTAAAACTTCATCATAGATTGAGAGAAAAAGGACAAAAAACAGAATTTTCAGATTTGTTTGGATTGATTCTCATTGGTCAGTCATGTACCACATGCATTAAAACCATAGATAATTCTATATGTATGTAAGTTTGTTAAGATTCTGTGTCTAAGCAGGCATTGGATGGTAATGTTATTTGTAATTGTGTATGTGTGTCTGTCTAGTTGAAGGAGTTCTAATATTTTTGCTTTCATATGGTCATTTGGCATAGTGGGGTGATATTATATTAATCTGGGGGCTGTCTTTATATATATACTGTTTGTATTAGACATAAGTTAAATTCTTTAAGAATGGATTCAAAGAAAGATGGTGATGTAATGTAATGTTTTAAGTGTGTGTTTATAGTATCTTATTATTAAACCTTCAAAGTATTTTCTCCCTAAAGAATTATGTTTTTTTTTTTAATTAGGATGGCATTAGTAAAATTAGGATGCAAACAAGGAGGAAGCTTATCTTTAACATAAGGAAGAGGCAGATGAAATTTCTGGGACATGTGATGAGAAAGGAGAGCCTGGAGAATCTGGTACTCACGGGATGAATAGAGGGAAAAAGAAACAGGGAAAAGCAGAACATGACATACAGTAGCGTCCAAAACTAAGGGACAAAATTTTAAAACCTAATATTTGTTAGAAATAACAACTGTGAAAAGCTGAAATTTTGACAACTGGTAGTCGTTATCATCCATAATAACATACTAAATTTGAATCATTTGCAAAGGATAGAAAAAGAATTATAACAATTATTTATTTATTTTCAAAATAGGATCATCCAAAAGTAAGGGACAAAATTGAGAAAAACAATGTAAACAGTATGCTATATTCAAATTTTTTGATTTCCTCTAAAGAATAAGTCTTACTTAGTCATTTGTAAACGTTGCATCAGTCGGCACCATGGCGAAACATAAAAACTTGATTACTCTGTGAGACAAGCTATTGTGAAGCTACACAAGGAAAAGCACACCATTAGAGAGATTTCAGAGAAAGTGAAACATTCCAAGAGTGTTGTAGGCAGGGTTGTTAAATCCTACAATGATACTGGCAAAATAGTTAGTGCTTTTAAAACCGGCAGACCCCGCAAAACTTCGGCAAGAGAAGATCGAATAATGCAGCGTATGTCATTAAAGGACCGTTTTAAGTCTTGCACAGAAATTAAAAGGGTTATGAATAGTACCTCATGTGTTAATGTGTCAAGACAGACTGTTTGTAGATGACTGCAAGAAATAGGGCTGTTTAATTGAACCCCAGGGAAGAAACCACTTGTTAGTTCGAAGAATAAGAAGAAGAGATTAGAGTTTGCAAACAGGTATGTAATTTGGACATATGAAAATTGGGCAAAAGTATTTTTCAGTGATGAAAGCAAGTTTAATTTATTTGGAAATGATGGAAAAAACAATGTAAAGAGACGTATTGGTGAAAGATTAAGTGCAAAGTGTACTAAGAAAACTGTCAAGTTTGGGGGCGGAAGCGTCATGGTATTTGGAATGTTTTCTAGCCAAGGTACAATGCCTCTTGTCCGGTTACAAACTCGTGTAAATGCACAGATCTATAAAAACATTGTTCAAGATCATGTTGTGCCAATCATACAGAATTCAGGTTTCGATAGGGCTACCTTTATGCAAGATAATGCCCCATGTCACAAGGCAAAGGTGGTAATGAGTTACCTTAGCGAGCAAGATTTGGAAATTATGGATTGGCCACCGCAAAAGTCCTGACTTAAATCCAATAGAAAATCTTTGGAAGACCTTAGGAGGAAAGTTATGGAAAGAAATCTCACTAACACGGAGGATTTGTGGGTGAAGCTTCAAGAAGAATGATCTAAAATTAGTATCGAGGATTGTCAAGAACTGATTCGTTCTTGTAGTCGAAGATGTGCAGCTGTCATTGAGAGCAAGGGATCATTTACTAAACATTGATTGTACATGTATTTTTATTGTTTTTTTGCCGTTTACATTGTTTTTCTCAATTTTGTCCCTTACTTTTGGACGTTCCAAATTTGAAAATAAATAAATAATTGTTATAATTCTTTTTCTATCCTTTGCAAATGATTCAAATTTTAGTATGTTATTATGGATGATAACGACTACCAGTTGTCAAAATTTCAGCTTTTCACAGTTGTTATTTCTAACAAATATTAGGTTTTAAAATTTTGTCCCTTAGTTTTGGACGCTACTGTATATGGCGGGCATGGACAGATGAATGGCAGAGCATGGTCTGGGGGAGTTGTCAGAAACACAAAACCTGTTGAGAGCCACAATGGATAGAGAGAAGTGGAGGGCCATGATTGCCTATATCCTGAAAGAACATGGCACATAAAAAGATTAAGTAAAATCAAAATTATGGCCGCATTGTTCCTGTGTGATACAAAAGAGTTACAATGGTTGTCCAAACATAAATCTCTCTTGTGTTTGTATATGTATATTTTACATCATGTGATGTCTTTCCCACATTTTTGCATTGTAAACAATTTATTTGATAAATACCAGCATTTTAATTATTGTTGGGTTTATTTTTCTTCCTAATTTTATATATTTCTTTTATATATATGTGTGTGTGTGTGAATGTGAAAATAGTCTAACTGTTCTGAACAAAAAAATTTGCAAACAAACTTTGAATTTCAGTGAAGTTCATTACATTCACTTTTGTACAAATAGTCTTGGAAAATGTGTGAATTCATCTGTCTCCATCTATGGGTTAAATAGTTAAATTTTCTCAGCAACCTTTCCTCATCATATACCCGAGAAATTGCAAATATCTCTTTCTGATGCTCTGAATAAGTATACTTTTTGTTTAAATTTTCCCTAAAATCCTTTTATATGACAGTGAATGCAGAGAAAGAGGTGATTTGAGATATTAGAGATGTGGTTCTACAGAAGGGTGCTGAGAATACTATAAATGGAGCATGTAAGAAAGCTTTAAGGAAGATAGAAACAAAAAGACACCTGCACTTCAAATCAGAAAGAGTTGACATTTCTAGAGAACATAAAAAGGAAAGAGAGCTGGAAGAATTTGACACTCACAGGTTATAGTGAAAGCCAGATGAATAGAAAGAAACAATGAAGAACATGCCTAACTAGTTTCTGTAAAACCGATAGCCGCACTGGTAGGGTGAGGGATAGTAAAAAGACAAACTTTGTTAAGAACTTTAAAGGATAGAAAATTGTGGATATCCTGAAGGGCCGCAACATAAAGAAGAAGTGTTTCTTGCTTTTAACTTGAATGCTTTTCCCCACAGTATAAATAAATCACCGGTATTGATCAAATGCTTTATAACAATTTGGGGCGGGGGTCAACAAACCTGCATAAAATGAAGGAAAACAAACAGCTCCTCTCCACTGCACATCAAATGAATGTTCTGCCTTTTCCTGACAGCAGCTGTTTACAAATCAATGCATCAGCATAACTTTTAGGGAACAGGTAATTGTGACTAGTTGGTGGAAAGTCCCTGGGGGCATGGTGACTCACAGGGATATACCAAAGTGGGATGGGATGACTCTGTCAATTCCGTGTAAGGCTAGAAAGAGTATTCAGCACTTGGTAAGAAACAAAATGGATGAATGATAGTTTGAAAATGGCTAATCTAGAAGGATATCCCTTTTGGATTGATTTGTTTATACTAGCAGAAAATATGGCTGAAATGTTAGGGTTAGGGTTAACAGGGTGGGGACCTTATTCTATAAAATCTTTAATAAGTCTAAATATAAGAATAAACACACACATACATACATACATAATGGCTGGCCACTCATACCCGAGGATATCAGTCCACTAATCCCAAATGCAGATGCCTGCTCAGGCATATTTGTGTTTGTTCAACAGCCATAGAGCTCACCTCTGGTTTATACTTATGCTGAGCAAACCTTAGTTACAGTTTCTGGGAGAGAGTGTATTATCTCACTATGATCAACAGTCTGATCAAGGCCAGCATGATCAAGGCCCTCAGTCACGATGGTATGTGACTTCATGCTAGCTCAAATATTGATGACTTCCAAGGCTTGGGTCAACCAGTGGTATGGTTTTCAGGCACTTTCCAATAATTCCCTCTTCCATACTGATCATACCAAGAAGTTAGCTTCCTGACAAATCAACCATGGTAAGATTCGAACTTGGGTCTAATGGTCAGAAAGTGAATGTTCAAACCACTAGGCCACATGCTCATACATACATACACTGCATTTTTAGGTACTAATCTCTTATTTTGATAATTTCTTTAGGAGAATCATGTCCCTAAATAGTTATCACCTGTCCCACTTCCAATCATCATGGTACAGCTTTACCAATGTCATGACAACATAAAACAAAGAAACAGCCTTTAAGGACATTTTACAAGAAATATTAATTTTAAAATTTTAATCTATGTCCAAGAAAAAATATCCCAGATTTAAATTGGCTTTTTAATTTATAAATAATTAACTACTTTGCTATTCAAACTAGCATGTTCATCCTGGTTATTATACTTATAATGTTTCAGCCATTGTATGCTCTGATCTTCTTCAGAGATTACGGTTCTTGTATGATCACTGAAGTTAAACAACATTGAGCCTGGTCAGTACCTAGAAGGGTGACCACTTGGGAATGTCAGGTGTTGTAAGCTTGAGTGTGTGGGTGGTGTAATGGATAACAGCTTAGAATTGGAAATTGGAGAGTTTTGTTCCAATTGCTGTCAGGTTTGTTATATTCATTTACATGCAAAATACCCTTGGGAAAAGTACAAATCCACCTCTTCTCCCTGCCCAGCTATAGGGTAATTAGTAGGACTTATATCCATAAATCAGTATTCTTGTAACCTAGGGAAGTTTACTGAATGAAATAATCACACAAAGGTTGGTAATGAACAATAATACTTAAGAAAAGAACAACACATATAAGATTCGACAGTGCCACATAGAAGTAGTAGTCAACTGCTAGAAGTGAATCAAGTAAATTCAACAATGAATCTGCAAATGCAGACCCCCATACAGTATTTACAACTGTATTTATGTGAATGGGGACATACTCATCATCGTCTGTAGGTATGCTGAACACATATAATCTCCAAATTCTTATAATCTAAAAATATTTTCTGGCCTTAAATAATCTGCAAAAAGTTGAAAAAACAAATCATTCAATAAAAAAAAAAACTATTATACACACTCGAGTGTTCATCTTGGTAGTTCTACTCACATCATTTCAGTCTCTGACCTTCATCAGGTGACATTTTTTTAGGATAGATTTTGCTATTTGAACCAGCATGCACAGCTTGATTGTTATATTTACAACGTTTCGGCTCTTGTACACTCTGGTCATCTTCAAGTGTCTTTCTTTATACTTGACAACCTTCATAGGATTTTGAACCAAATTCTTTAATTAAACCCCAAAGGCAGATTATTCTCATTCTACATTCCATGTTTAGACAAGATTTCATATCAGTTAGTACTCACCCCTCACCCAAATTTGTGTCGCTTGTTCGTTTCTTTCACTGAACAAATATGACTTTTCAGCACTAACTGATCCAGGAATTGAACTCACAACTGCTAGAGAACAAGATATGTTTTAACCAACACTTGAAGCCACTAGTTTGACCTCCTTTTTGTATTGGTTTAGATTGACCATGAGACACATGGAAGAAATGACAAAGTGGCAGAAAAGGGAATAAGTCAGAATTAACATAAGATAGGAAATATTACCTCAGCATAGAAGGCAGAATAAGAACAATCTCACCATGGACTAAAAGTGTTTGCTTAAAGATTCTAACAAGTTTACTGAGTACCAAGACAAACACTTGATAAAGGCCAGAGGTTAAAATGGCCAAAATATTATGAGTATAACAAACAAAATGAGGATACTGGTCCAAATAACAAAGCATTTAATAATAATAATTCCTCAAAGATCCTGGCAAACATTGTGAGCTTAACAACCAAGATGAGGATACTGGGCCAAATTGAAAGGCATATAATAATGATAATTCCTTATCTCAAAGATTCTAATAAGCATTGTGAGTATAACAAGCAAAATGAGAATGCTAGGCTGAATTGTAAGACATTTATTAATGATAATTCTGCATCTTAAAGATCCTGGCAAACATCGTGAGTATAACAAGCAAGACGAGGATGCTTATCTGAACAGTACAACATATGATGATGATTTCTCATCTCAATGATTCTGACAAAAATTATTATAAAAAAACATTGTTGAACCACTGTAATACATAGCTTTAATATTTGGTTGTGAGTTCAATCTTCACTGAGTGTCTTATATTTGTGACCCAATCTCAAAACTAGTGCATTGAAAAATAAATAGCCTCATTTTTGGGGATCCATTGACTAAGATCTGCAGTAATATCCAGGGCAACTGGGAAATTTTTGTCTCTCATCCATATACGTTTCTGCTTCCATATTCAAAATTGCTTGTGTCCCACTTCTCAACAGTGTGGGTGCATTGGTGTTGGGTAAGAGTCAGCTAGATTACTATGGTTGACTACTACTATTGAGTAGTAAGTTTGATTCACACTGGGTGCCCCTTAAAAATTTGACAATAACCTAACAAGTGTTATTATGTCAAAACTCAATCAACCAAATAAAATAGTTGGATAATGGATAGCTAGTCTGGCTAACTATTACAACTGACTCATGAGTTTGATCCTCACCAGGTGACCCAAACAAAATTCAACATTAAACAACCCAACAAGAGTTGACATGTGAATCAACCAAACTAAGCTCACCTAACTTCTTGCCTGTCAGGGAGCACAAGTAAATACTATTATAAAAGGATTGATCTATGTCATGGTTGAGTATGGAGGTAAGAGCCTTTCACTACTTCTGTTAGGACAGGTAAAGTTGCAATAAGAAAGTGGTTCCTACAGGTTCATTCACCCATTCTCATATCTCTTCAAGTTCCTGGTTTCCTTTTGGTGTCTTTTACTTAAATAAGACCTTTAGAAATATTTTTTTTGTCATTAAACAATGGTAATTGTAATATTAGCCATTTTCCTACAAGGAAACATTTGGTATTCATTGACTAAGCAGCCAATACCACTGTCAGTTGAAATTTATAAAGTCTGCTATTAGGAAAGTTGGTTCATTGTGTCATGCAAGATAATTTTTCTCACCTGAATCTATCTTAAATATTTATAAGTCTATCAATCAACAATGCTTTGAATATTGTTGCCACATATGGTTTTGTGCTCCTGCTAAGTATTTAGAGATCGTTGATAAAATCCAAAGAAGAATCTGCCATATTATCGGTCCTGACCTGGCATATCACCATCCCACTATCATAATGTAGCTTACCTGTGACTTTTTTATAAATACTTCTATGGTAATTTTCCTGATGAAATCTTTGGGATCTAGATTTTAGAAATTTCATTGCAGTAATTGATTGGCAGCAAGGTCTTATCATTATTATAGTTGAAATGGCTGGACTCTAAGTTTTATGCTAACGGTTTCTTCTCTCGCACTTTGCACTTGTAGAACTCTCTTCTGATCTCTTGCTTTTCAGTCAATTTTGATCTTTAAAAATTTAAATGCAATGTCAATCATTATATTCTGTCTTCTGTTGTCTTCTCTCCTTAATAATGTTTTCTTTTCTTATATTCTTTCACAATTGGTATCCCTTTGCATCTTAGTATCTTTATTGCCTTACTTGGGTTGAAATGATAAAAAAAATTCAGGAAAATAGGTTTTTCAAGTCCAGTGGCTATTATTGTGCTTTCCAGTACTGATGTAGGTTTGTTTCCTAATTTTTTTTTGAAGTTGTGTGGAATGTCAACAACTTGATTATGTCATTATTTTCACTTTGAGTTGTGCTATCCATTTTAGGTGTTGCTGCTGTTGGTGGTTCTCAAGTGATGTGGTTTCTGTTATTTGGTACAGTTCTTTGTTTGTGATTCTGTAGTGCCAGTTCACAACATTCAAAGAAGGATGATCACAATTTACCAAATTATTTTCTCAGTTAATACTTAATTAAAAAGTTAAGATATTACTTTTTACATGAAAATAATATGAGAGTAATATGGTAGCAACACGAGAGTAACATATGCCATCATTATAGAATGTTATTGACGATAAAAGTGCAACATTTTATAGAAATTAACTTCCTCCAAGCAAAAAAGTTCAGTATCAAACACAAATGTATTTTTTTAAAGTTCAATTTTGAATAAAATTAGAATTAAAAGTAACACTGCAGTTTTTTTAAACAAATTTCTAAGAACAATTTTTTTTTTTGAATTAGTCATCTCAATAGCCTTGTTCTAACAATTTAGATTTTAACAAAACTTAAAAGGTTTCAACTTTGTTTTTACTCTTTTGCTATAAACAAGAAGAGAAACGGGGATTTAACAAACTGAATAGAAGAGTTATAAATAAAGCCATTCAAAATGAGTTTTCCCTCAAGGGAATTATCACGATGAAGAATGCTGTGCATGACCAAGCCGTTATTGGAAAGTCGAATATCAGTGTCCAGATGTTTTAGGCCAATTATTCATGTGTCCAGTAGATATGCTTGGGATGCCACCTGGAAAGAAAGAGCAGTCTGTTTCTACATCATTTTCCTGGGTGAGGGGTGGGTAGGGAAACCAAAGAAAATGGTGCTGCCTCTGATTTAACGGGTGAGTTTTAGACTTTAAGGTAGAAACAGGAATTTAGTCATGATAATTTGGTTCTGAATGCCTGAACTTCTGTCAACGGAGTTTAGCTTTAAAGATGACAGATATTTTTGCAAACACTCATTCACAAAGAATGTAGATCTAATTATCCTTGTAATAAATATATTTATATTCATTTCACATTAATATGTTAAGTCATGTAACCACTTCTCCTTGTGCTCCAAAACATTCTCAGATATCATAATAAAAATATCTCATTACTGGTATGTAACAATTCAGCCATTTATCCCTGTGAGTGGTAAATATGCTTGCAATGTCTGCTGGTAAGAAATAACTGCATATTCATTATTTTTCTATGTGAAAAGGGTGCACATTCAAAAATATTTTTGCACACATTTATTCACCAAGAACCTGGATCTCATCAACATTGTTGCAAACATGTTTATATTTGTATCACTTTAATACACTCGCATTATGAAACTACTTTTCACTGTGATCTTAGCCATTGTCAGATATCATGACAAAAATATTTCATAATGACATAATCAAGATGTTGATGTTCCATACTACATCAAACAAAAGGTTAGGAAGGAAATTTCCATCAATACTGAAAAGAGTAATAAATAGCTACTGGGCTGGAGAAGAGAAAATAATGGCATAATCAAGATGTTGACATTCCACACTACTTCAAATAAAAGGTTAGGAAGAAAACCTCCATCAATAATGGAAAGAGTGATAACAGCTACTGGGCTTGAGAAGAGAAAATAATGACATAATCAAGATGTTGACATTCCACACTACTTCAAATAAAAGATTAGGAAGGAAAGCTCCATGAATAGTGGAAACAGTGATAACAGCTACTGGGCTTGAGAAGAGAAAATAATGACATAATCAAGATGTTGACATTCCACATTACTTCAAATTAAAGGTTAGGAAGGAAACCTCCATCAATACTGGAAGGAGTGATAACAGCTAATGGACTTGAGAAACCTGTCTTTCTGAAAAATTGTT